CCACCGTACAACGTTCGCATCACCTTCGTAAAAAAAGACGTCACCACTTTCAGCATAAATTAAAGAAATGGAAGAGGTTGGTTAGTGAAGGTGGCCGCCATCATCAGATGGGGCTGAAGTCACAAAATACGCCGTGTCTTTATTTCAGGGTAGCATGGAAACATATAAAAGAAAGAGATGGCAGAAAAGCACCAAGTGGTCCAACAAGTCCGACCCTGTTTTTTTATTAATATTGGTATTATTATTATTATTATTTATATTGTTATTATTATTAATATTTATGACTAGTATTATTATTATTTATGACTAGTAATATTATTAATATTTATGACTAGTAATATTATTATTATTATTATTTTTACTATTATTTATGACTCATTATTATTATTTATGACTTATTATTATTGTTGTTATTATTATTGTTATTTTTCATAATTTATTTTTGTTATGTCTTAAAACCTTAGTTTGATTTTAGATCTGTATTTACCACAACCATGTTCAAAGCCCCACTCCAGGCAAGAAAAAATAATTGTCTCCCCAATATACTGCCAGGTTTAAATGCTTGCTGAAGCTGAACTCCATAAGTTTTTGGGTGGGAGGGGAGGATTCATCACAACTTTTTATTTTTTATTATTGGTATTTATATAGCACCAACAATTTACACAGCGCTTAACATACAGGGCCAATTAACCTGCCAGCATGCCTTTGGGGTATGGGAGGAAACCCACACACATAGGTTGAACTTGATGGACATGTGTCTTTTTTCAACCTGACTAACTATGTAATAGGGAGAGCATGCTTGTGGATAGTGTCCTGATCAGAATTTGAACCTGGAACCCCCAGCACTGCAAGGCAGGAATGCTACCCACTACACCATTATGCGGGTCAAATAAATTACCTCTAATGCAGAGTGTCTTATGTCTGGGTGGCTGCTCTTTACTGTACAAATCCATCCCTTAGCGATGCCGGACACTACACACAGTGGTGATCTTTTAGCACTCTAAGGATGAGAATCAATGATTGCAACAGTGAAGGATCCTATCCTCCCATTCCTCCCCCCTCATTCATTCAGAAATTGCCTTGTATTGTATGTAGATATGCATATTTAAAGAATTTGCCCAAAAATTTTGTCCAAAATTTGCCAAAAAAGTTATCATTCTCAAGCACAGTTCCCCATGCTAAGAGAATGTTTCACCTGTGAACCAGCAGTCAGGGCCGGATTTCCCACAAGGCCAACCAAGGCCTGGCCTTGGGGCAGCAGGGAGTAGAGAGGCAGCAGAGTTGTGGAATTCCTATCTCCCGATGACCGGACGGCTAGTTGTTTTCTACATTTAGCCCTGCTTTGGGCAAGCAGGGCTAAATGTTCAGTGGGGAATCTGCTGGTTGTTTTGCCATTCTGCCATTCTCCCTTGGGGGAGGGGGAGGTGGCGGTTAGGGCGCATTGAGCAACCTGGCCTTGGGGCAGCAGAGACACTAAATCTGGCCCTGTGTACTCTGTTAGTTCTAAGATCTTGCTGCCATTGACAGCCACAGTTCTCAGTCTGATGATAGTGAACCAATTGTTGATATGAGGTTTGTTATTGACGTAGTCCACGGAACTCTCTGTGCGATCGTGGCCCGCTATCCACCACTTGGTCTTTCTTACATCTTTTCTTCTGTCTTCCATCTTTCAAGGTGTCATGCAGCAATTTGCTATCTCTGAGGCAACGCTAATGGCCTGGTCATCGATGGACGGGGAAGAGGAAAGCGTCAACTCGAACCAGGAGAGGCAGAGTGAAACTTACCAGGAGCTGCTGGAAAATCAGGGTGAGTCCCGCATGGCACAGTGCGGTGGGATTTTTCCGTAAAGGGCAGTGAGGATGAGCAAGGGGCAGTAAGACATAGCAGCCAATCATATCAACATAAGATGAATCTGTTTGCCTGAACTGAGATTCCTTCTGGATCAAGCACATAGTATGTGCCTAAATCTCTGTGAATATTGTCTGATCCTCCCGAAAAACAATTTCCAATAATTCTTTGCTGGGTCATGGATCCAATTTGACCAATAAGGAAGTATTTGAGGGTTAGAGCTTCTGTTTTTGTCTAGGTCCACATTGGAGAGATTTCCCCGCACTTCCTGTCCTGATGAGCGGTGAAGTTTGTCCCATTTTTACAAAATGTAAAAAGTTCACCAATGCATTTTGGCAAAATCTTACCAATGGAAAAGAAAATTTGGGAAAATTGATTTCCTCATCAGAATATTTTTGGTAAATGCCTTTAGTCAATTTTAGGCGAGTTTTGCCGATAAAATAAATAATTGAGCCAAACTTCACCGCTCATCAGGACAGGAAGTGCGGGGAAATCTCTTCAATGTGGACCTAGACAAAAACACATTTTTATTATAATTGGGACAGGTTTAAGCCCCTGTCAATTTTTTATTGCCATCTGTGTGGGCTTAAGATAGATTTTAACTCAGTAACACAAAATTATGTAATACTGAGCATTTAAAAATGTAAAAAATATATTTTATGGCACTGAAATAATAACAGAAAAAATCCACAAAAATGCAAAACTTTCTCATTAATCTGAATATTTTTTCACACATATACAATGGAAAATTTTATACTTGCCTATCGGTAATTTTCCTTTCCTGGTGCCAATACATGGCAGCATACAGGGGGCGGAGCCATACCCATTGTATGCTGCCATGTATTGGCATCAGGAAATATATATATACACTATATTGCCAAAAGTATTGGGACACCCCTCCAAATCATTGGATTCAGGTGTTCCGTGAAATTTCCTTGCTTCTAAATATTCCGCGGTCACCTGTTACTGGGATTATAACAAAGTGGAAGCAACTGGGAACAACAGCAACTCAGCCAGGAAGTGGTAGGCCATGTAAAATGACAGAGTGGGGTCAGCGCATGCTGAAGCGCACAATGCGCAGAAGTCGCCAACTGTCTGCAGAGTCAATAGCTACAGACCTCAAAACTTCGTGTGGCCTTCAGATTGAATATTAACGTTCTGTTTTTCCTGTTTGTCTTTGTCCTCCCTGTGCGTTCCCTCTTCTCATTTCTCTATCTGTGTATAGATAACTTTGCACAGGCGCATTCAGAATGTTGGCCGCACTCTTACGTGTCCCAAGGACTGTACTGCCTCGGCTCCTCGGAGGCATGGGCTAGCAGCGAGCATTCTCTCACAGTGTCCCCAGCGCCCACAGGAGGAATTGGCATCATAAACCCCGGGCCCGAGCTGGAAGAGAGACCGCTCGAGAATATCTGCGAGATTGCCCCTCAGCTGCTGCACTCCAAAATATCCCCCTTAGAAGAAGATGACGCCGTGTGTCACGATTTGCAGTCCCTGTCTCCGGCCCGCGAGGAATGCGACAGCCTCCCACACAGCCGGAAGGTGTCAGATGTGGCAACGTCCGGGGTGCAGTCCGGCGAGGAGGAGGAAGAACGGGAAGGAGAGAACTAAGTCCATCAGGTGGAACCGGGAGGATGGAGAAATGCTAGAGGATTACGCGAGAGAGTGTCGCTGCACAATGTGAGCCGGGGGTCATTTATCAAACTCTTCCACGCGACAAACTTTTTTTTTTTTTTTCTTCAAATTAATTTTTCAAAATAAGGGGAAAAAAACAGCTCTCTGCAGACAAAAAATATATTTTTTAAAAATTAACAAAAAAATTAATTGAACGAAAAAATCTTACAAAATATTTTTTACGCACTACCGAGTTTGTAGGAATTTTGCTTTTAAGCTTTTTTTTAACTTTAAAGAAGCCAAGCCTACTATCTTTTAAGTGAAGCTTTGCCCCTTTCTGTGAAAAGATCAGCCTTATGGTGTCTGCATGCTGCTAACTGCCGGGTACCTGTGACATTTTCAATAACTGCCATGGCCCCTCTTCTTGATTACCATTATTTTTAGCTGACCAGGTTGGAACCAAAAAGAAAACTCAACAGGGAAAGTTCAACCTTGCAAGAACTTTGCATTAATCAATAGCATTTACCAAAGGGTGCGTGCACCCACAGGCAGGGCCGGATTTCCCACAAGGTCAACCAAGACCCGGCCTCGGGGCAGCAGGGAGTAGAGGGGCAGCAGGGGTGTAGAATTCCTATCTCCCGATGCCACTGACATGCAGTTCCGGGCGCCAGGTGGGTAGTTGTCGTCTACATTTAGCCCTGCTTTGGGCAAGCAGAGCTAAATGTTCAGCGGGGAAGCCGCCGCTTGTTTTGTACAAGTGATCCCGGCAATGTCACCAAGATCACTTGTATGCAGTCTGCAGGTCTGCCATTCTCCATTGGGGGGGGTGGGGCGGTTGGCTTTATAAATCACTGAAATGGCACCTTTTACAAAAATTGTAGAGACAGAATATTTTTAAAAGACATTTGCTCCAAATATATTTTTTCCCCAAATTTTGACCTTACCAAGTTTATCAATCAGGAGACAAATGGCAGGGGAAAAAGTAAAAATATAGTGAAATTTAGGAAGGGAATCCTTAAGTAACTTTTTTTAATAGATAAGTCCCATAGTCCAGAAGTGTGTTTTCGGTACAGACCTTAGGTCATAGTTCCAATTGCACCAATGCACCTAAAAATGTCAATTGGATATAAAGATATTCCATCACCTTTTCAATTTTAAAGATCAGCTCCTTAATTGGTAGGCAACTTTTTTTTTTTGTTTTGGGGGGGGTTAACGACAAATCACCACATTGGTTAAAAAAACAAAAGCAGTTTTTATTTGATTATGCTGTGTTCATCAAGATGTTACGTTTGCATTTCTTATATATCGAATAGGTGTGGTCCTTCATGGGCAACAAATAGCTATTGAAACATTACAAAAATTACTGCAAACTTAAAAATATTTATTTCTTTTCATAAAACTGTATTTTTTTCTCAAATTTATTTTATTCTTTTTTGTAATTTAAAAATATGAATGGTAAATGGAGGTGAACGGCTCCCTGGTTGAGAAAGGCTGGTTGGCGCCATTTTGTTTCCCTTTTTTGGTCCCTGGTGAACTTAATAGAGCTCCAATGTTACCTCTAACACCGACTTCTTGATGAGTTTCTCTTATATGGCGCGTGGTTCCCATGCTGTAAAATTTTTCTGTAAGCATGCGCTTGAAAATTGCTGAGAGGGCTCGAGAACCGTTTTTTACTCCATCATATGGATTTGATTATATTTTTTTCATCAAGATCATTGAAGAGGCAAGAGCAAGATAACAACACCAAACTAATCAAAGGAAAAAGTCCAACTGCTTTCAAGGGGATCCTCTTTTTCCCTCTTGATGCTGTTATGTTGCACCTATGGTTGGAAGCATCCCATGATATGGACATGGTGGATTCCATTTATGGAAATAATTGGTATCTTTAAGAAGACTTCCTTGACATCTGGATGTTAACGCCTCTTTTCATGACTCCCATCAATTCATGTATTCCCCAAAAATTGTGATACTCTGGTTATTTTTGTTTCTTTTTTTTGATGCCCGTGAAGTGGATTTGATAAATGACCCCCACCCCCCCCTCCCCCCCGACCAACCAACTCCAAGGTGTGAGAGAGTTGACGTCAAGATTAGGATCTACGCCATCTTCGATGTCAAACGGATCCGGTCTGTCTACCTGTCCTGCCACCCAATGCAGAAAAGTCTTCCCTTGCTCCAGGAGAGAAATAACTGCCGCCTTTCATCCCCCTTGGCATCTGTAAGAGGAATCCATGACACTAAGCTCCAATCTTGCCCTCTCTCGGGGTCTTGCAATCTTGACCGGAGACAGGCTCAGGTGTCGGAAGCACAGACTGCTCCATTTGTGTGGGAGGTCTCGCATGCCTTAAAGTGATCTCCCTAAAATCTCCCGACTATCTTTTGCCAAACTGCCCATCCCACAAAAGAAAAAAAAAACTTTAATCTGCATTCCTGCCAAAGACCACAGAGCATCACCCTTCATTAACTCGTTGCCTGCCAAAGGTCTAATGGGCATTGTGTTTCATCCGCTTGCCAACTGTTCCCCATCTCATACGATTACAGGGCATTTAAACAACACTGTTTTTGTTTCTGTTTTTTTATTTAAATAACTCATTGTCATGAATTGGCTTGCTGGTGAAATGTATGTGCAACAAATGCTCCATTAACCTTGCCAGTGCTGGTGTCCTCAACAAAGTTTTGTACAAAGCGCTTACGGTTTGTCTGTTTGCATTTTAGTCTTGCCGAAAACCTGCAGAGCATCACGTTGTTAGCCTTTCTTCCTGCCTTTTGGTCCTACCGGGACAGGTGGGTGGGTCCATCTAGGCCTGGGGGGGTCTAGGGCAGATCATTCTTAGGGCAGTCAAACAACTGACCCCTTATGTAATAATAAGTTCTTGCAGATTGTTTTGCTTTCTGAAGACTTGCGCAGGAAATAATTTTTCAGGGAATTAACATTTTTACTTCTGTGGAATAATTTATTACGAACATACACTGCCTGGCCAAAAATAAAAGTCACACACTCTAATATTTAATTGGACGGCCTTTAGCTTTGATTACGGAATGCATGCGCCGCATCATTTCCATCAGCTTATACAATGTGACATAATTTATTTACATCCAGAGTTGCATTAACATTTCACTAAGATCTTGGGGTGATGATGGGAGAGTCGGACCTCTGCGTAAAATATTCTCCAGCACATCCCAAAGATTCTCAATGGGGTTAAGGTTTGGACTCTGTGGTGGCCAATCCATGTGTGACAATGATGTCTCATGCTCCCTGAACCACTCTTTCACAATTTGAACCCGATGGATCCCGGCATTGTCATCTTGGAATATGCCCAATGTGCCATCAGGGAAGAAAAACATTGATTGCAAAACCTGGTCATTCAGTATATTCGGGTAGACAGCTGACCTCATTTTTGGGGACATAACGTTGCTGAATCTAGACCAATGGAAGGCTTTTTCCTATTTGCTTAGCTAAATCCAAGCGGTAACTTTTTTCTGGCCATGTAGTGTATGGTTTCCTGTTTACATAGCTGGTTGTCCATATAGATTTGTGGTTAAATGGTTATAGGGGTGACATGATGCCCCCATAGTTAAAGGCCAGCCCTGAGCAGGAGTGACAAATCCAGTATAGGTCAGGAACTAGTCAGCCCAGCCCAGTCGTAATTTTTAGTTGTAAAGACATATGTGAGTCCATTGTCAAGAGATTGTAAATAAAAGTCTACTGTCTGAATTTTTTTTTAGGCGCATTGGCAACCTGACTCCTGAGAGTAGTCTAGTCCAGGGTTGGGCAACTGCGGCCTTCCAGCTGTGCTTTAACTACGAATCCCAACATGTCTCTGCCTTTGGGAGTCATGCCTGTAACTGTCAGTCTTGCAATGCCTCATGGGACTTGTACTTTCCCAACAGCTGCAGGGCCGCTTTTGCCCATCCATGGTCTAGAGCAGTGGTTCTCAACCTGTGTATCCTCGGGACCCACATTTGTCCTTGGTCATTGAGTTGTAACCCAAGTCGCACTGCAATGGAACACACAGCATTGCGGTACTGCGCGCTCCGGTGCGGGGCGATTGAACTGTGGGCAGAAGGTGTGTTTGGCGTGCCGCACCAGGACCAGTAGGTGCGATTGCATGGTACAGTACGTTATTCGCACAGGGCTGTTCGATTAACACACTGTATTAGTGTGAACAGGCCCTCAGAAACACTGACAGACACCAAGTGTCCCTACATTACGAGAACTGGAGTGGATCCTCAGCCTGGGGTCTAGTGTGGGCTGCTGTGCTGTGATGGAGCTCCATCCATATGTACATTGCTTGCACAGCTCCCTTGCGTGCCCTTTAGAGATGCCGGGAGCCAGAACGTGATGCCACTCCGGTCCAGACACCTCTACAGGACATGCTGTAAGCAATGCACGTATGGCTGGAGCTCCCTTGCGGCCATAGCCCCAGCCCACCCCACCTCAAGCTGACACTTGGCGCCGAGCAGCATATGAATGGCTGTTTGGCGCGGGAACTCACAGTGCTGCGCAAGGGGGAGGCTGAGAAAACTCTCACCTAGAAAAGTGGAAGGCACGTGGCGACCCACTGAACACACGGGGTCACGACCCACCAGTTGAGAACCAAGGGTCACTCTAGACCATTTTATGAACATGTATCCTCATATCTCTATGAACACAGTTGTGATGGCATTATGAGTTATCCAGTCCGGGATACATAAGGTCAAAATGCAAAAAGAAAATATGTGCCGTCGTCTTAAGTGTCTCTATATCAGCTTTTACATAGAATGTACAATGGGTTTTTTTTTATTTTCTTCATTTATTTTCTTTATTATTTTTAGGGTTTTTTTTTTGCATCTACAGTTTTAATTAGGAAGACGTGAAATATTACTGTACATACAATATGTATTTTTTATGTAAGTGTCAAGATAAAAAAACAAAAGCACTCCCTTTCTGATGCTGGAAAACCCAGCTCTGCTTTGGAAGAGCAGGAGAGTTCAGATTACACAGAGTGCTGAATTACTCAAAGGAGGGAAACACCCCTCTGTCCTCCTCAGCAAAGGTGGAGCCACTTTAATTAGTCTCCTCCTTGTTACTGGGCTTTCTTCTAAGAGAACCTAACATGCTTCGCAAACTGAATGTCCTTAGGCCGCCCTATTGTATGAAGTCTGAAGAAGGGATCTA